AGGCCAGGACACGCTGCACATCCACGTATACGCTGTATTTGGAGGCCGTGCAGGTCTTGTCGTAGCTGAGGATGCCGGCTACGTACCAGGTGTCGTCACTCGAGTCCTGCACGGCGAACGCGCCGCCGGCGTCCCCGTAGCACGTGTCCTCCCGCAGCTCGCTCATGCCCACGCAGAAGGTGTCGTTGCTGAGGATGGGCTGGACCCAGTAGGACTCATTGCGCGCTTTGTAGTACTGCCTACACTTCTCACCCTCTGCCACCGGCAGCATCACGTACTTCAGCATCTTGGGAGTGGCAAAGGTGGCACCGGAGCCCCAGCCTGAGACGTAACCCACCCGCCCCGGGCGCACGTAGTCCTTCTGGGGCAGGCAGATGGGCATCACCTCCTCTCCCAGGGGCACCTTCTGCTTGAGCTTCAGCAGGGCCAGATCCACAGCCTCGGGGTAGCTGGGGTGCAGCACCACGCGCTCGATGCCCAAGGCAGGCTGCTCCTGGCTGCCCAGGAAGAGCTGCAGTGTAGGGGCGATCTCCTCCGGCTTGGTGTTCTCAGTGTGGTTCAGGTAGACGTTCTTGCCCGTGGTCAGCACCCACTGGTCACCAATGAGCGTGGCCCCCACGCTGAGGTTGTGGCGGGTCCCCAGCCGGCCCTGCCAAGGGAAACTGCCCTTCCCAGCCAGCAGGCCCCCGATGATGCGCTGCATCTGCCTGGGGGGGTTCTTCGGCTTTCCACACACTGCATAGGGCAGAGCAGGGCCCTGGTGAGCTCTCCGAGGCCGGCAGGCGCTGAATGCCTCCCAGCCCGCAGAAGCCCCAGGGAGCAGCACTGAAGATAGGGGATGCGAGCAGCCCCTGCAGCCCATGGTTGCCCAGCAGAGACCCACTTCACAGTCCCCCACCCACCCCACCCCTTGCAGCCCGGGCCCCTGCTGCGCTGCTCTCACCTGGCTCGCAGACAGGTGCCTCCTTGCCATCTTCAGGGCTCACCCACGCGTGATCCTCATCACACTTGTACGTGCCTTTGGAAGGAAACCACAGTCAGCACCCCTGCCCTGCAAGGCCAGGGAAGGGCCCCACAGTCAGCAAGGCACAGAGTTACTTGGGCCTCCCCAGGGCTTGGGAGAGCGGGGGTAGCTACTCATACCCCCCAGGAAGGTGGGGGGGGAGGGGCCCGCACTGTCCGGCATTGGGGCAGCCCCATGGATCCCTTGGAGCTGGGACAAGCTCCAATCCTGGTTGCTGTACCCATGCCGTGTGCCTCACCATCACCAGAGCCACGCAGCTGGTAGTATGGGTCACAGTGGTACTTCACCAAGTGCTCCACGTAGCCGTGTTCAATCTCCGCAGGCTTTGCACAGCTCCACTCTGCAGGCAGAGGATGCTCAGCTGGCCCCGAGGACCCAGCCCAGGACATCATCCCACCTCCAGCGGGTCCCTCCCCAGTCCTGTCTTCCCTGCCCCATGCCTGCTCCCTGCCGCTGGCTTTGTCCAAGCCCCAGTGCTCCCCCCTCGCCCTGGAAGGTACCGCTGGCAGTCGCAGTCTCCAGCACAGTCCAGGCCAGGCCAGCGATCAGCAGCACTGCAGGTCTGCAGGGAAGAGAGGGCACACTCAGCAGAGGGCTCCTACCCGGCTGTTCCCAGCCTGTGGGCTCCACCAAGACCAGGGCCCTGGCCAGGCTCATGCCCTGTTCCGAGGGCTCCCTCCCCAGGGGGGGAGGCCCCAGAGGGCCGATCCCGCACCCCCGGGGCTGCCCATCAGACACAGCCTGGAGAAGCCGCCTGGGCCAGACGTGGAGCCTGCTGCTGTGGAGGACGAGGCTGCAGTGTTGAGACCCAGAGCACTTCCAGGCCCAACATGGGTCCTGCCACAGCCCACAGCAGGGCCAGGTCCTCAGCCAGGCAAACAGGACAGACACAGCACCAAGCACGTGCAGGGACACATCAACATTGCTCACCCCATGCTCCTGGCTCCCTCTTCCTCACAGCAGCCTCCTTCTGAAGGTCGATGCTGTTCAGGGCTCCCTCCTCATCCTTTTTATTGCCACCTCCCTCGCCCTGGTGCAGCCCCGTGTGCTCCAGCCCTCCTGACCCTGCCGTATGCAGCCAGCACCTTTCCCAGCAAGAGGAGCACAAAAATCCCCACCTGGCTTGCAGCCTGCCTGGCAGAGGCTCCCGGGAAACCTGCCAAGTCCCCATGAGAAGCCAGCGTGCCAAGAGCTTCCTGGATTTTGCAGCTGCAAATATGCAGGGAGGGATCTGGCTGCAGATGCTGGTGCCCTGGCGCTGCGACACCAGCTGAGGTTCACAGAAAGCAGAGCCAGCCCCTGCCCCCTGCAAAACTGCCCTGTGCCACCACCTAGAGCCGGCCCTGCGGGGGCACCTGGCAAGGCAGAGAGCACCCTGCCAGCCACCCTGCAAAGCTGGGGCGCAGTGGGGCTCAGCGACACCAGCGCCCTGGGCAGCGCCGGCCCAGCTGGCCGAGAGGTGCAGCACATCCCATGCCAGCTCGCCGCAGGCTCCGAGGGACTGTAGCCAAGCCACCCTCTTCCCACAAGCACCCAGCCCTGCCTGTCCAGCGGGTTCCAGCCTCACATCCTGGCAGCCCCTGGCCCCCTGGGTGCAGGTTGTTTGTCAGCAGAGGCAAGGGCCCAGCCCAGCTTTACGGGAACTCGTAGCAGCAATCACTGGCCAGCGCCCAGCTGGATGGGACCGGCCAGCAGCAAGGGCGCAGGGCAGAGCTCATCAGCCTGCTCCGAGGAGCAAAGTCTGCTTCCAGTAGGAGCACAACCGAGGGGCAGCATGGAGTGGAAGGGACAGGCACCCACCCTCTTACCTATCCCAGGGTGCCACCGTCGCAGCGAGGCCACCCCAAAACTATCTGGAGCACGTGGGGCCAGTCCCAGCCCTGAGCCATTGAAGCCTGGCCTGCCGGGGGTCTCGCCAGGGACCCTCCTGCCCCTTGGACGCTCCACTCCTTCAGGCTCGGGAGGATCATCTGTGCCTGGTCCCAGACACTCCAGAAGAGGGCCTTCCCATCCTGTGCAAGCTCCTTCCTGTCTCATGGGGTGCCTGTCCCCCTAAATAATGCAGGTCTTGAGATCTCTGGCCCAGCACCAGCCATACTCATGCAACCACACTTGAAACACAGAAAGCTAGAGTCCAGCACAGGACACATCAGGGCTTGACATCTCCGACCCATGAGCCACGCCAGCGCTTAGGAAGGTGCCGTGGCATTTGATGCGAACAGGCTCAGAGAGCACCGTCCCGCTGCAGCAGGCTTGTCCCTCCGCAGGAGACTGCCGTGCCCTGGCAGGGGGGAAAGGAGCGACTGTGCCTTGGCGCCCACTCAGCAGCCTCAGAGTTAGCTCCGACAACGGGACTGCCCACAAGAAGCTGGAGGGAGCTGCCCCAGCCTGCCCGTGGGGCACAGACCACAGCCCAGTCACCGGGCTACGGCAGCGCAGGGCCACACTTGAGGCCAACGCCCCCAGCGACTGCCGCGACAGTGCAAGGCACTGAACGTCTCCGAGCCAGTCACGAGTCGGCTGCAGAGCAGACAAGAGTGCTGTGGGACAAGGTGAAACGCAAGCTCATGCTCCCACAGGCATGGCAGCCACCTTCAGAGTGGGAGAGCAAGCGCCTCGCAGGCCCTCTCCAGAGAAACCACGTAAAAGCCTTGGGCAATGGATGGGGCCATTCCCTGCTAGAGCAGCAGTAAGCACCACCTGCCTGAAGCAGGGAATCCAGGAGCCAAAGAGGCTGGGGCAGAGGGCTGCGAGAGAGCAGGTGGGTGACAGCCCTGATGTGAGCCGAGGGCCACCAAGAGCAGGGTGAGCAGTCCCGCTCCTCCTGCAAGCAGGTTTCATGGAGTGCTTGATGCAATCCTGCTCCGCAGAGTGGATTGCGAAAGGCTGCAGAGGGAACACCATGTCCAGGTCAAGCTGTGTTGCTCAAGAAAGGCCTGACATGACCGCAGGGCTCCAGGGTAAAGCAGCAGTCAACACCAGAGGCCCCAAAGACAACACCGAGAGCCTCCAGAAGCATGAACAAACAGGGCTTCTCTGTAACAAGTGATGGCACAACCACAGCGGCCTCCCAACACCACATACTGGCAGCAAAGGGAAGGAACGGCGCCCAGCACCTCCCAAGGGCTCAGCCTCAGGCAGAGGTCTCTGCGAGGGGAGCCCTGGCGAGCTCTGCGTGGATCCATCCAAGCCCAGCTACCCTGTGGCTTCCAGCACCAGGAAAAGATACGGTGACCAGGAACAACACAGAGAGCTGATCCCGCTCAGCTCAAGTGAGACGGCCTGCGTCCCTCCGACCCAAGGGGTGTCCCCAGAGCAGCAACACACAGGACCAGGTGAGCCAAACGTTTATTGACACTTGAGCAGGACCTAGGGCCTGCACGTTTGTTACAGGACCGCGTGCAGAGAGGGGAGGAGGGCACGGAGGCTGCAGCGCAGGAGGACCAAGCGCCAGCCAGAGCAGGCAGCGCGGGCTGCGGGGTCCCTAGCAAAAGGGACACCCAATACACCGCTTGGCCCACGGCTCCAGGTAGTAACGCCAGGGGACGTGCTGCAGGAGGAGCCAGGGCACGGGACTGCCCACAGCCTGCAGGGGGCCTTCCTCACCACCCTGCAGAGCCTTACCCACCACTGGTTTCTGCTGGAGAGCCCAACCCGCAGGAAAGCCAAAATACAGCCCTGGACAGGGGCACCTCCCCTGCTCCCCACCACTGCAGCCCCAGCTTCACCCATCACTGACCCCTTCTCAGGGGCCGGGACCAGGATCTCGGCTCAGTCCCAGCCTGCCCAGCACTGGAAGCGTCAGACCTGTCCCTGCTTGGCCATGACTCCTCCCGGCTAGACCTTGGTTCTGCAAGCGCATCAGCACCGGTGGTCTGCTCCAACTGCCTCCATAACATTCTTGAACCCCTGCTCCCTAACCAGGGACAGCATGTGACGGCTCACCCCACGGTACCACCGCTCTGCGCCAGCACGCGGCTGCCCAGAGCCACCGTGGGCCCAGGGGCTCCCTGGGCAGTTGCCTGGCCCGTCGCTCACCTCAGCAGCTCCTCCAGTTCCCGCTTCACGGCCCCCACCACCGGTGGCCCATGATACACGAGCGCCGTGTACATCTGCACAAGCGAGGCTCCAGCGCGGATCTTCTCCAGGGCATCGCGCCCGCTGCTCACCCCACCCACCCCGATGATGGGCACCTGGCCTGCGGGCCAGCGCAGGGTCAGGACAGCACGGGCAACGCCAGCAGGCGTCCCCGAGCCCTGCTCTGCCCCTACCTTGGGTGAGGGCGTACATCTCCCTGATGGTCTGTGTGGAGAGCTCCCGCAGGGGCTTCCCGCTGAGGCCCCCTGGCTCCGTGCGCTGACTGCTTCGGAGGCTGCTGGGGCGGCTCACGGTGGTGTTGCTGACAATCAGCCCGTCCACACCTAGCTGAGGGGGCCAGCAGCGTGAGGACACAGCTGCCACAAACAGCCCCCCACTCTCATCCCCAGGCTGCCAGGCCAGGACCTCCCCCGCCGCAAGTGCCCCAGCAACGTGCCCAGGGACAAAGCACTTGCCCTTCACCGCCTAGACTGTCCCCAAGGTCCGGGTGACACACACAGGCCCCCATGGACTCAAAGCTACCCAGGACACCGCCCCTACGGCAGCCAGAGAGCTGCAGGTCTGCCTGTCCCTTCGGAGAGGTGACTTGCCAGGAGCACGGCAGTCCTGCCCCCGCGCTGTGCAGGGTGAGGCAGGAGGGACGCCAGCCCAGCGTCTCGCCAGCCTCCCCTCCCCACCTCCTCACCTCACAGATGATGCTAGCGATGTCCTGCTTGTCCTGCGTGGTGAGGTCGGGGGCAATCTTCACCAGCAGGGCTGGCTTGCGCTCGAAGGGCAGCCTGTCCCTCTCCACCAGCACCTGCAGGGGGATGCACGGGGGCACAGAGAAGCGCGTGGTGGGGGAACACCTCCTGCCCCGGACTGGGGAGATGCGTGCACCCACCACCACAGGCAGCACAGGGACAGGCCCTGCTCTCCCTGTGCGGTGCCACTGGTGGAATGGGCACCCTACGGCACAGGGTCTCAGGCACACAACCCACACAGGACCACAGTGACACCGTGGGGTGGGTGGCTTGCTGCCCCCTTGCAGGAGCAGAGTGGAGGGCAATGCCTCACTGCCCATAGGCCCTTTGCTAGAGTACAGTGTCCCAGCGAACCCCGTGCCAGCAGCTGATCAGGGGACACTCAGTGGCCCTGCACACCACTCCAGGGAGCCACCACGCTCCTCCCTGTGCTGGGGCAGAGCAGGTGCTGCCAGGGGATGGGATGCATCCGGTGCTGCAGCTGTGGTGCGGGCTGGCTGTGAAGGTCACCCACCTTGGTCAGCAGGTCCCGCAGCTCAGCCTTGCCCTGCAGGTCCCGCAGCCCGGGGGTGTTTGGGCTGGACACATTCACAACCAGGTAGTCAGCCAAAGGGCCCAGCGTCCGGACCCCAGCCACATAGTCAGCTGCAGCATCGGTAGAGCTCTTGTTCTTGCCCAGGTTGACTCCAAGGGGCATCCCCGCTGGAACACAGACATGGCTGAACCAGGGCAGCAGGACCATGCAAGAGGCCAGAGTGCCCGACAAGGGAGGCCCCGGGACCAGCTGAAATCAAGATGGGGATATGCAGCCCATGTGTTTTCACGAGGGTGAGCCTGGGACTGTCCTGCAGCCACAGCAGCATCACCACAGCTGCCCCGGTCAGCACCTCCCAGCACTGCAGCCTCCAGCCTGGCCACCCTGTGGAGGCTGCCCTCAGAAAATGCCCAGCTAGGGCCCTATTGGCTTTGGCCTCAGCAGACACGTCCTGCCCAAAGCAGCAAGTGGAGCCTCTATCACAGAGAAAATGGCAGGAGAAAGGCGCCTGGTCACAGTCCCAAGGAAGAGAGGCTACAGCCCCAAGAGGGTTCTTGCTGTCTGAATGCACCTCGCTCTGGCCAGGCGCCCCCATGCCTGAACACTGGTGTTACGCACCCTTCCTAGCCTACAGCTACCTGGGAGACCCCCAAACCCACCCTGCGGACCCCAAGAGCAAAGGCTGCTAAGCTTGTCTCACCACCAGTGAGCCTGAGCTGGGTCTCCTGGCGGGCCCGCAGCCTGCGCTCCACTGCATCGTGGCCGTGGCTGTTGAATCCGTACCTGCAGCAGAACAGACAAGGTTCAGGGCTGGGCTGGAGTCCACAAGCCCTGAGCAGGACACAGGAGAAACACAAGGGAGACACAGGGACTCCGCAGCTCTGCTCAGCCCATCCAACCCCAGAGCCACTGCAGTGCGGACCACAGAGCCGGGACAGAGCCTCTGCTCCCTGGGGGCGGGCAGCCTGTGGGACACCGCAGAGCAGCCACCCTCAGGTCCCACCTGTTAATGACCGCCTCGTCCTCTGCCAGCCGGAAGACCCTGGGTTTGGGGTTCCCCTCCTGGGGCTTGGGTGTTACAGTCCCTACTTCCACAAAGCCAAAACCCATCTTGTACAGCCCATCCACAGCCTC